CTTAGGAAAATTATATTTTGAATACACTACAAGGTATTTCTAACATTAGATAACCTACATCTTAAGATTCTTTTTCTTTGAAGTTCTCAAACTCACTCATCCTCCATTGTAGAACAAGACCGCAACTACTACAACCACATTTTTTTACAAATGAAAATACACACAGCTCCAGCAGGTACATGCTGAAACTTTATAAGATTCTTTTTCTTTGAAGTTCTCAAACTCTCTCATCCTCCATTGTAGAACAATACCGCAACCACTACAGCCACATTTTTTTACAAATGAAAATACACACAGCTCCAGCAGGTACATGCTGAAACTTTATCTAATTTTTGCATATACGTATTGAAGTGTGTGGGGGTGCGATGATAATTTGGATAACTAAATGAGGGTATTAAGATATTTTCAAATTAACAAAACGTGACAACACTTTTTTTTTTTTTTTTTTTTTTTAAGATATTTTCAAATTAACAGAACGTGACAACACCTTTTTTTTTCTAAGATATTTCAAATTAACAAAACGTAACAACACATTTTTTTTTTCACTGCAGTTTGTTTACACTACCCCCTTTCTAGTTTTTACCTTTCCTTTTAATGTATGTTTTGTCCTTTGGTAATCGTATAAATAGAGAGCATAAAGAATTAAAGATAAATGAGAGGAGTGCACGTGTACAGAATATATGTGCATTTCCATGAATGATGAAACCATAAAAAGTAGAGAAAACTAATGAAAAAAATTTGAAAATTTTGAGTTTTAACAAAAATGACAAAATAAATGGTAAAATGAATAGTACCAAGATTGATTTTTTAGTGTAAAAATGTGATTTTTCGTTAAAGTGAACAGTACTAAGAACTTTTCGTTAAAGTTTTCTAAAAAATATGATGATGCTATCTATCACTCATTTTTACTTTCCACACGTTTTTTGTTAATTTTTGTTTTTTGATATTCTTCAATGTATTTAATCTGACGGTTAAAAATTGAAATGGCGTGTGAGAAGTGAAAAGCTAAAAAAATAAACAAGTTGAAAAAAAAATCCTCATCTAGCAAGCCAAGCCATGTTGTTTTAGGCTATGGTGTATTTAGTGGTGCAAGTTGGATTGGAAGTTCCAATCCGATTAAAAATTAACCGTTATGAGTTTGAAATTTTTGGATGGCTTGGAATAATATTCCTACCCAATCCGAACTTCCAAGGTTTCGATCCAAATTTCTTAAACTTAGTACTACTGAATATTTAGATATACTTTATTTCTCATTTTGTATATTTAATTATATTGTTATCTGTTAAAAATGAAAAATATAATCATACGTACTATTTTATCTTGTTTAATATGCTTTTATGTCATACACATACATAACCACCCACAAATATTGCAAACATTCATAAAAAGTATTGAATTGTGGATGCACAAAAGTTTGAAAATTTTCGAAGTCTTGCAAAATGCAGGAGATCCAAATTAAGTTCCAAGATAAAACTGATTCTGAGATTGTCGATTAATTCTGATAAACCAAAATGCCGAAATTGGAACTAATAATTGACTCCGAAACTTGTTTTGATTGACATTTGTTTCCGATCCGAACAAAAATCACCCCTAGGTGTATTGTACAAATTGTGTTGGAAAAGTAGGTCCAAAAAAGGCTGTTGAAGGACCTCAATGGACCTATGAATGTCTAGGACAAGATTTTTTTGTGCCACCAAGTGTTTGATGAAATGCATTTTTAACATCACTTTGCTGGGTGCTCGACATAACTAAGCAAGGTCACTCACAAATCTACAATGCCTATCACAGCACTCGATAAATGTTGACTCTTATCGACATGCACACAATATGGCTTGGTTGAGGACGACATGCACACTAAATGCTCGACGAAATGTGCAACTAAAAAAAATGAGATCTTTTACACTAGCATCTTCCAAAGTTAGAATTTTGGATAAATTTTTAACACATTTTTTACTTCAATTTTTCCAAAGGTAAGTAGATAAACTAAAGTTATGAAGCATTGAAATGTGGATACTAATTTTTTTGGATGCAAATCGAAGCAATCCTTCAAGAGTTCAGTTGAGTACAATTAAAAATGTATCCTCTAATATGTAATCAAGCTACTAATGAATTTCTGGAGCATTAAGAGCAAGAATCAGTTTGAACCCACTTTAAAATAGGATAGTTTTATTCACGTATCTATTTTTACTTCTCACATGCTTCTCTTAATTTTCTACCATCGGATCAATTGAACTGAAAAATTATGAGTGTGTGAATAACAGTATTCTTAAAATAATCCTAAAAATCATGCTAGGGAGAATGAGAACAGGAGATGACAAGTGGATCCATCACAATGTAGTGAATTACAACTCAAAAACCCTAAAAAGCAATAAGAAAACTGATCAAAGAAGTTGGGGCGATTTTGGATGCTCCAACTGTCTGGATAATCTCAACTTTTAACAAAAATAAAATAACAAAAAGTATTGCAAGTGACTCACCCTCACCGTCCCCGAACAGACGTTAGAGTGTGAAAGCAAATTGAGAGAGAGAGAGGTGGGTCCTTCTATTTTCTATTGACCTTGAGGGGACTTTTCCAAAGACAATACATTTTGCATATTTTGGTGTCTACAGCCGATGAATCTGCAGAAAATATCCTTTTCAGCTCGTTTACAATTCCTAGCGTACCGGGTTTTACAAGAAATATAAATTCTTATGATGACCAAATTTCATCTTACAAAGTCTTCTTGAAAGTATGTAGTCGACTTACGTTGAATTGTATCTAAATGGATTAATCTGCAATCAATGTGTGATGAAATATTTTTTGAATAAAAAAAAGTAAAGTTTGAGATTGTTGATTTAAGTCATATTTTGTAAACTATGTAACATAGTTGTTGATGATTAATTTATTAATATTGATTAATGTGTTTATTTTTTAACATTACTTAAAATAAAATGCAAATCAAGCTTAAGTTGTTTTTGTAGCAAAAGTTTCAATTATTAACTGGGCATCCAACGTAACTATAGATGCATTATATTGGGGATCATATTAGGGTTAATAGTAACGCTAGAGAGACTAAATATGTAGACAAAATATTGTAAATAAAATAACATGGAAGTTGATAATTAGAGTATTACTTAAGTGTTGATTAACATGCTTATTTCTTATTGGTAACACATCATTTAGTTTGCAAATTTAGTTTACTTAACATTACTCTTAGGTTAAAGACTGAAATTTTAGACTTAGTTTGTGACATCCCACATCGCCCAGGGGAGTGATCCTTATATGTATATTCCCATCTCTACCTAGCACGAGGCCTTTTGGGAGCTCACTGGCTTCGGGTTCCACGGGAACTCCGAAGTTAAGCGAGAAGGGGGCTAGAGCAATCCCATGATGGGTGACTCATTGGGAAGTTGCTCGTGAGTTTCCAAAAAACAAAACCGTGAGGGCGTGGTCGGGCCCAAAGCGGACAATATCGTGCTACGGTGGTGAAGCGGGCCCGGGAAGTGATTCGTCCCTGGCGGGGATGTGACATAGTTAGAGTGGAACAACGTACTTTTTTGTGTAACTAATTTATAACTATTTATTATATATATATATATATATATATAATCGGGTCGAGTTTGAATTAATCAAAAATGAAAATACCATCACGGCGACTCAGATTTTTCAAAAAGTCCCTGAACCTGTCCCGTACTTGTGTACTATCCACCATAAGCACCCCGTTAGGATTGGGTATCCATGAATACCCAAACTCGTGGGGGTTCTTTGTCATCCCTATCCTGTTTGGCCGGACCAAGCACAAGCAGCAAAACTTACGAAGGTCAATACGAGTCGAAGCGCTGGAACCCAAGCATGCCCTATCCTAACCTGAAGTATTGTCATGGGTTTGAAATGGCCTGGCTTAGCACATTTTCGATCTTTGCAAGTAATTATTGGGTGAAATTAATTTGATTTTATTTTAGCATCAGAACAATTAATCTGCCCCGATCGCACATTTTTTTTTACATTACGAAGTACCACCTCAAAAAACCACTTCAAGTAATAGCAACGAACCGGTTGCCAATACTCTTGGTCAGTTTCATCACCAATGGCGCTCTCATGGCTATACTTGCATGATTTTGGTAGCCGTAGAAAAGCATCAATATGATCCGCACGCTTCTACTAGTGGCTAAACATTGCTGCTAATTATGTATATGCATCTTCATAAAGATCTCCCTGCTCCTAACAACTAACCGTTAACTCATTAACACTATTGTTTGTAAAAAAGAATTATTAGTTAGATTTGGTTATTATAAAATGCATAAATTAATTATATAATGTAAGTGATTAAAAAATTGTGTCAAATTATCATAGTGACGAATCAAAAATCCCCTTCTAACGATATTAGTATGGTTTCTAATTTGATAATTATTAGTTGCTGAATCAATAGTCTCGTATTATGAACTTTCCTGGAGTCGTCGAAGTTGACTTGCTGGTTTTCCATTTCGATTGTGGATAAAGCAAAGAGACAAAAAAAATAGTGGGGAAGCAAAGCGACACAACACGAAGTAGCACTTTGCTGCTGTTGTAACAGCATGACATCACGCTTCTCTCACCAACCCAATACCAAACGTGATTAATTGAAAACGGGCCCCACAACACAATTTACACACTAAAGAAAGGATTTGAATCCTCTCCTTACCTAATAGAGAGGATCATCCTGACCAATCATCGTAGACCGTTGGATTTTTATCCAACGATTATAATTATTATAATTTTAAAAATATTCTTTATTTGTAGCTGTTGAATAAAAATCTAACGGTCTACGATAATTGATCGGAAGGATCTCTTCTATTAGCTCAAAAGAGAGGATCCAAATCTCTAAAGAAATTTCAAAGCAGCCGACTTCGACATCGACATCAACTAAAAAAATTAAAAATATCGGCCACTGAAAAATAAAAAAATGTTAATACCGAAAATATCCATCCGGTTGAAGTGTGCATGAACCTTCTCACCTATTTAAACCTCCCTCTCCTCAAATCCCAGAAGAAATCCAAAATCTCAACAAATATAACTCTCTCTCTCTCTCTCTCTCTACACTTCAAAACACATTTCGGTTTCGACCCGGACCCGAATTTTTTGGTTTTTCGGCTGCGAAATGTACGGACAGAGTGGAGCTGACTCGATTTGGCGACACTTTCTGGGAGAGACGGATCTCCTAATCGGGAACCCGATGAGCAACTCGGGTTCGGGACCCATTTTTTCTCGGAGCTCCAGCTTCAGTAGCCTGTACCCGTGTTTGACCGAGAATTGGGGCGATTTGCCGCTCAAGGAGGACGATTCCGAAGACATGGTGCTCTACGGAGTACTGAGGGACGCCGTTAGCGTCGGATGGGTTCCATCCGGTTCGGCCGATACGTGTTCCTACGGTTTTTCGGTAAAATCGGAACCGGAGGTTCTGCCACCGGTGGATAGAGTGCCGGAGAAAAAAGCGGCGCCGGTTCAACCGGTTCAGAAGTCGGCTGAAGCCGTTCCAGCTGTGGTGCCAGCGAAGGGGAAGCATTACAGAGGCGTACGGCAGCGGCCGTGGGGAAAGTTCGCGGCCGAAATTCGGGACCCGGCTAAGAATGGCGCGAGGGTATGGCTGGGAACTTTCGAAACAGCTGAGGACGCGGCTTTGGCTTATGACAGAGCCGCTTACAGAATGCGCGGGTCCAGAGCTTTGTTGAATTTTCCACTCCGGGTGAACTCGGGCGAACCCGACCCGGTGCGGGTGACGTCTAAGCGGTCGTCATCCGAACCGTCATCTTCGTCTTCGGAGAACGGAACTCCGAAGCGGAGAAAGAAGGCGGACGGCTCGAGCCCGGTTCAAGCCGGATTGGAAATGGGAGCAGGGATGGGGCAGCAGCAAGTGGGAGGCCAAGTGGCGGTGTCGGTAACACGTGGCGAGCAGTTATTGGTGGTCTGATGATGAGATGGTGGGAAAAGTAGGGGAGGGAAAGCACTAGTGGCACTACCGCTCAAATTGTGGAGTACACACTGTAATTATCTGAGATACAATTTTAAAAAGAAAAAAAAAAATGTAGGATTTCAGCTTTTTATTTTTGCGAGAAGAAGCCAATTATTTAGTTTCTTGAAAAAAAAAGAAAAAAAAGGAGAATAAAAGGGGATGGGTTGAGAGAGGGTGATGCTTGCTTTTGTGGGTTTTATTTTTTTGTGAATACAGAATTTTCTTATTGTTTGATGAACTCAATTTTGGAATGGAATGATTCTCTCCTGCACAAATTAATTGTTACCAACTCGAATTGTATTATGACTTCACTCCAGTCACCAATCATGTCTTCAACATCTCCCCCTACCATTACGGTTAAGATAGCTTTGGGCATGGCCAACTCGCATAGAGTGATGGGCGGAGTGGCGAGAGTTTAAACTATGAAGATTTTGATTATTAGAGTAATTCACCACTTGTATTCGGTAAAGGCCGTCTCGCGTCGGTTGTATTTAGGCTCTAAGACTTTTAGTTTGCATGTCACTTTCTAAGGGCTGGTTTGGTATTGCTGTGCTTTGAAAAAAAGCTGCTTCTGCTGTGCTGTGAAAATAAGCAGCTGTGAAATAAAGCAGCAGAGTGTTTGGTAAACTTTTTTGTAAAAGTGCTTTTGAAAAAAAAAAGCAGTAGTAGAGTGTTTGGTAAACTTTTATGTAAAACAGATGTGAAAAAAAGCCAGTTTTTCAAAGCTAGGTTTTGCAGCTTCTTGTTTTTAGCTTTTTTTCATCCAAAACTGTGAAAAAAAGCTGAAGCTGAGTGTTTACCAAACACAAAAATAGCTCCCAGCTTTTTTTGATAGCAGCTTTTTTTAGAATCACCTCAGTACCAAACCAGGTCTAATTCGTTTCTATGAACAGTTGATCTTTTTGTTAAATGGTCCAGCGTAAATCATAAGTTAAGAGAATAATCTAAAGATAGAAAAATCCACATACTGACATACCATTTGGCAGAACATGAACTTCTATACCACATAAGTTCAATTCTTTTATTAATAGGCAAACGTTAAAAGAAATAACTTTTTGCTAGGGATATGAGCGAGATTGTTGCAAAATATTACACAAAATGATTGAAGATTAGAGAGAAATAAAATGATACTGAAAATATTCTAAATTATCTTTCTTTTCTTATTGCTTTTGTATCATATATTTTGAACACTCGTAGTGCTCTATTTATAGAGTAACTAATTTGAAAACTTACAAAAACTTCACTATTTAGCATATGAATCTTTACTGTATACATGTTGGCAAACATACCCATTGTTTACAACACTCCCCCTTGAATGCCCACATATCAACATCAGTTGCCTCTTTAAAACCTTGCTTGGAAAAACCCAGTGGGAAAAAACCATAGCGAAGGAAAAAGAACACAACTTTACCAGGTTTGCTGATATGGTCTTGAGCATTCTTATGTTGCCTCCTTAAAACCTTGATAGGAAAAACCCAATGGGAAAAATCCTAATCGAAGAAAAAAAGAGTACAACACGCATGTATTATGAATGCTCCCCCTGAATTGTATCTCCCCCTGAGGTCTAGTTACCAACTTCCCTTGAGGACAAGCCTTGCAAAGGATATCATTTGAGGTAGTAATGTGTTTGCTCAATAATGGATGTCCATTAGAGTTAGTAATGATCCTACACATCATGGTGGATCCTGGATGACCTAGACGGTCATGCCAAAGCATGTAAACTTTTGAATCTATGAACTTTTGGTTTCATGACAGCATATACCTCAATTGTCTTTATGTATGTATAATACAATCTACTCGATAAACCATGCAACTTCTCCAATATACGCTTTTGGGTATCATTAAAGGTAATGCATAAATATTCCACATTTTCTGCACTTTTCATTTCAATGTGGTATCAATTTAGATGTATGTCTTTAAAACTCAACAAATTTCGAGTGGATTGAGTAGCGTACAACGCATTCTGTATGAACAATATTGTTCCATTTGGTAACATAATCTGGGCTTTTCTTGAGCCTTCAATTACATCTAATTGCCCTGATATTGTTGTTACCTTTACTTTTGCAAGTACCAAGTTTGAGAAATACTTTCAATCTCGAAGTATTGAATGCGTGGTTGCACAGTCTGCAAGACAAAAATCTCCGCCATTGCTCTTCTTTTGAGAATAACCATAATTTTTATCCATGTTCTTTGAGTAAATAAAATTACAGTTAAAAAACAGTTTATTCATACTGGAATACTACTTTTATTGAATTGAAAATGCGAGCATTAAACCACAAGTACAAATAACAAGAGTAAATTAAACATAAATGATTTAATCGGACCTATAAACTTCATTTACTCCTTCAGTAATAAAGTCTGAAACATCTAGGTGGGTTGTGTTCAACTGTCCTGATAAATTGGACACTGGATCATGTATTTCCATTGGTTGAGCCTAGTCGAGGAAATTGGTCTTGACACCCTTCTCCTTAAGGGAGGCTTGATACAGATCCACCAGATGTTTTAGGGTACGACAGGTACACGCCCAGTGCCCATTGCCACCACACCTATGACAAACTCCTTCAGGATTTCTAGGAGTGTTCATATGAGCTTTGCCTTTTTGGTGATTTGCATTCTTAAAGCTCGGGCCTGTATTATGCCTTGGAACCTAGTTATGAAAATGGACACCATGGTTTTTGCCTTTCCCATTCCACCTTGTGGCTATGTCCTCGTTTGTAATTATTGCCACGAAAGGATGTGGTATTCCATTCAAGGGAAGCAGCATTCACTTCTAGGAATAGTGCATATCCAGTAGGCCAGGACTGATGATTCTTCATCAGAAGCTCATTGTTTTGCTTGGCTACAAGGAGTACAAATATCAGATGGTTGTACTCAGTAAAGCCTCTTTCTCTATATTGCTACTGCAGGAGCACGTTGGAGCCATGAAATGTGTTGAAAGTCTTTTCCAGTATATCTTCCTTAGTTATTGTTTCTCCACAGAGCTTCAACTGGGAACTAATTCTGAACATTGCAGAATTGTATTCAGCCACCGTCTTGAAATCATGGATCCTTAGGTAAGCCCACTCATAACGAGCCATTGGAAGAATCACCATTTTCTGGTGATTATATCTATTTTTTAGTGCCTTCCAGAGGGTTAATGGATCTTCAACTGTGAGGTACTCGCTCTTTAGTGCCTCATCAAAGTGGGGCCGGATAAAGATCATGGTCTTCGCTCGATCTTGAGAGGATGCATTGGTATGCTCCTTGATGGTATCCCCAAGATTTCTTGCCTCCAGATAGATCTTGGCATCCATTACCCAGGTAAGGTAGTTCTTTCCAGTAATATCCAGGGCAACAAAATCAAGATTTGCCAAGTTCGTCATTTTCTTTTCTGAAAGAAAAATGAGGTGTGTAAGAACTTGCAATAATATGTATTCTGGAGAAATATATTGTTAGAACTTCTAGTTCTTACAAATTTGATATTCAGGCCAAAATGATAAGTACTCGAAACTTCAGGTTCAAGATTTACATGATTAATGAGAAGGGCGATTGTACCGCACCATTCTTATCTAAACAAATATAGGATGGGCGATTATTCCGCACCACTTTAAACAACAGGAAAATTTAAATATGCAGAGCAGGGTGGGTGATTATTCCACACCACCTAAAATTTACAGTAGAATTAAATCTGCAGTCCAAGATAGGTGATGATACCGCACAATTTTGGATTGCATAAATAAACATTGGGTTAATAGTCAAGAGTTACACCAAACAAGAAATCAAAGACATAAGTAACTGCTAGGTTGAGAACTAGAAGTAAACATGGTGCAAACAATTCTTCGCGAGGGTATATCCAGCAATTAAGGTAGAGGAAGAAGAAGAAGAACAGTAAAAACCTTAGAGGAAACTTTTTTTTTTCCTTTTGGCGAAGAGAAATGAGAAAATGTTTTAGGGTTAGAGAGTCTTACTGATAACGTGTTATAAATAGGCAAAAGTTAAAGAAATAACCTTTGCTAGGGATATGAGCGAGACTGTTGCAAAATATTACACAAAATGATTGCAGATTAGAGAGAAATAAGAAGATACTGAAAATATTCTAACTTATCTTTCTTTTCTTATTGCTTTTGTATCATATATGTTGAACACTCGTAGTGCTCTATTTATAGAGTAACTACTTTGAAAACTTACAAAAACTTCACTATTTAGCATATGAATCTTTACTATATACATGTAGGAAAACATACCCACTGTTTACAACAAATTCAGAGTTTAAAATCTCCTTGACATATTAACTTGCCCCAAGCACCCTCAATTCAATAAGTTCAAAATCTCCTCGAATACGAATATACTATTTTGCGAAATTTATGTTGTCAGATAAATAATTATGTTTATGAGGCATATATTTATGTTATGAGAAATATATATTTGTGTTGTTAGATAAATATTTATATTACCAAATTATGAATTTAGGCCACATTTAATGATTAATTTTATATTAATCAATCGTCTAAATTCACAATTTTACAACATAAGATATTAAGATATTTATGTTGCTACATGTGATGATTTGAACTTTACTCACAAAAAAAAGAAAAAGAAAAAAAGTGCTTTCGCAGCAAAACTCCTCCCGTCGAACATGGTATTTGTCGGAAAAGCTTATTTACCCCGACGAAATTCAAATTTATCAAACAAAATCTTCATTGATGAAATTTTAATCTTCGTTGGCGAATTATTTGTCGTTATAGCCAATTATTTACAGTCAAATACTAAATTCGTCAGGATAACTTTCTAGTGGTGAAACATTTTACCGTGTGATTGTTTCACTGTGATATTTAATAGGGAAGAATTTCGAAGCTAAATCTTAAGATTGTCGGCGATAAGGATTAGTTTCTAGTATGACTGAGCAACTAGCTACAGAGGCAATCAGGTAAATTTGTTTCTCTTGACATTTCTCATGTTTAGGGCTTAAAGAGAGTTAAGACTAGTTACGACTCTGCATAAATTTTTCTTCTCTTTGACATTTCTCCTTTATATAGAAGTTTTATTTAGGGTTAATCTCAGTTTATTACTATGAAGTTTTTTTGTTTTCAACATTTGGTATATCAAGTTTTTTTCATCCCATAGTGATACTTGAAGTCATAATTTTGAAAAAGTTTCATACATCCATTAAGGTGCTACTAAATCAGTCATTAACTAGTAACATGGCGCCCTGTAGATAATAATTGGGCGCCACATGTGAATATAGACCCACATAGATATTAAAAAATAAAAAAATAATAATTTGGGCACCCTCTCCCTTCTCCCTCCCTTATCTCCCTTGTACCCACCCTTC